GAACCAAGTGCTGTTATAGGCTACAACATTAATAAATTCTGAAAAAAAAAGTGTTATGCTAAATGTAAGAAAAAGACACAGAAGGCTGCATATTGCATAATTGTACTTAGAAGCAATGACCAACATAGATGAATGTATAGAAAGCAGACTAGGGGGCTGGGAAGGTGGCTCAGTGGTAGAGCGCTTGCCTTGCATGCATGAGGCCCTGGGTTTGATTCCTCAGCACCACATAAGCAAAAAGAAAAAAAAAGCCGGAAGTGGCGCTGTGGCTCAAGTGGTAGAGCGCTAGCCTTGAGCTGAAGAGCTGAGGGACAGTGCCCAGGCCCAAAGTTTGTATGATAAAGATACTCTAAAACGGCAGTGATAACTGTATGTGCTAAGTAAACTAAACCCACTGGATTATGTGGATCCCTTTAAACAGGTGACATTGGAATTTAAAACTGTAACAAGTCAGGAATGGCAACTCACACCTGTGATCGATCCCAGCTACTTGGGAGGTAGAGATTGGACCACCTAGTCAAAGGTCAGCTGGGCAAAAGTGTTTGTGAGAGCCCACTCAACAGAAAGGGCTGGGCGTGGTGGCACTCATCTTGACTACCTTCGCCAGACCTGGGACTTGCCACCTGGCCTCAGCATTGGCTTCTCTAGCCCTGGTCTCCTCTGTACCAGTTGCCTTCCTTTCCCTGAAGTTGTGACAAGTATTAAGCACTTGATGCCCATGGTGTTCAGGAAACAGGAGAGAAGGGGTGGGCAGAGTGGTTAGCCTCTTGCTCCTCAGAGTTAGAGAAATCCTCCATCCTACTCTTAAGAGCTTGCTTCTGAGAAGGCTGGCCCTGGAACACACTGGAGGAATCTGGAAGCTGTTCCATGCAGCATAAGCAAAAAATCCTCAGTCCCACTCCCTCCCCACCCCCCGCCCACCCCAAGGGGTGCTGGGACAAAACTCAGGCCAAGAAGCTAATGGGACTCCTGGAGGCTCGAACTGTGGTGTCAGCCAGGGCACTGAGCTGGCAAGGCTCAACCAGAGAGAGGCAGAAGCAGCCGCTCCATTCACCCTTCCAGACCTTCTCCGTCAGGACCCCAGGCCAAGGGCTATACGGAGCCCTGGAAGTTCCTTCCCAGGTATGAGAGCCTTCACTGTTGCCCTCCAGTTCATATGCTGGAGTCCCGACCGAGAATACCACTGTACTAAAGAGGGCACTACAGTAGGCTTTGCTCCAATATGGTGGCTATCTTTACAAGAAGAGAAGATCAAGACATCGTCACCCAGAGGGTCGACATGTGGAAAGACAGGGCAAAGGCAGCAGGAGGTAGAAACTTTACTGCCACCACCAACGCTCCATCCTGGAATGGCTGCCATGCAGACTAGTGTGGGCTCTCCTTGAGGGAGGGGCCTCCTCTCCCCCAGCCTCCTCCTGACTGTGTCTGCTGCTCACTTTATCTCATTCCTCAACTTGCTCTATGTGTCCTCCTCCCCGGCACCCAGCACTTAGCACCCAGTACCCAGTACCATGACAGCATCCATCAGCTACAAGGCACAGCTTCCTCTCCTTCTCGGTGCTATCTGTTCTAGTTCCTGGACTTGTCCTGAGATGACCCAGATGGGCCTGGACAGCCCTGTGCACTACTGAAACTCCCAGACTCAAGAGCCCCATGGCTGGACAGTGGCCTAAAGGAACCACCTACCTATATCTGCTAATTCTGTGTGTACATGGGTGCAATGGAATCAGTGGCCTGGCAAAGCTAATGCTAAGGTGGGTGCTTTATGTGGGGGTCCCCTGGCCCTGAGCAAAGCCCTCACAGTGGCAGGAAGGTACTGGATGGGCCTGGTAACTGGCCTAGGCCAGGGTGGGTGGTCAGACTGCTGAGAATCAAGAGACCCAGCATGGGTTTTCACCATGGATTCTGGGCAGGGATGTGCTCAGGGAGGGGGAGGGGCTCAGGTTCACCAGTGTTCCTGGGGGCAGGGGAGGGGCAGGAGCATACACCAGTCCATGAGACCTGAGCGGAGTCACACAGGGAGCTTCGGAGGCCCGTGCTGCCAGGATGGAGGCACTTTAGAGGACGCAGGCCAGAGGTGACACCCTCACTCCACCACCAGCTCAGGGCCCCTCCTCCTGCCCCTTCCCACAGCACACCCAAAGAGCACCATGGGTGCCCCCTCATCCCCCACCCACCCTGGACACTATGAGCCAAGGAGTGGGATTCACAGAGGGACAGACACTGGCCCAAGCTCAGCCAAGGACCCATGGAGACCAGTGGCCAGACACAGGCAGAAGTATGGTCAGCATGGCGCTCCACACCTGGAACAGCTCCTGACTAGGCTGGCAGATCTGGGAGGGACTCAACTATCTGTGCCTGGCTCCCCACCCACCCAGGAGCAGCCATCGAGCTCCTGGCAGCATGGCTCATGCGTGGAGGGTCCAGGCATGACCCTGTCTGCAGACTCCTGAAGTACTGGTCCCCGTCACTGCTGGTGTGTCAGCGACTCAAGTAGGCAGTGGCTCCCCCGTTCCTGCTTCCCACAAGGCACCCAAAAGGATTTGCTGCTGAGTGCCGGTGGCTCACACCTATAATCCTAGCTACTTAGAAAGTGAGATCTGAGGATCACTGCCAGCCTGGGCAGGAAAGTCTGTAAGACTCTCATCTGCAGTTAACCACGAAAAAGACAGAAATAGAGTTGTGGGTCAAGTGGTAGAGTACTAGCCTTGAGCACAAAAGCTCAGGGATAGCATCCAGGCCATGAGTTCAAGCCCCAGGACACACACACACACACACACACACACACACACACACACACACACACACACACACACACACACACTTGCTGGCTGATTCCTGGCCCAGCAAACTGAGGCCCCAATGGGCAGCACTTTGCCCTGATGCCACACTCCTGACCTCTGCACCTGGCCGTGAGGATCTGTGTAGACACGCAAGCAAAGACCAGAGAGGCTCAGTCCTTTCGACAAGACAGGTGTGTCCAAGGGTCAACCTGGGGTCTGAACTCAGGTCTGGTTTTGTAGTAATCTCTGCAGAGACCAGGCAAAGCTGCCCAGGGCACATCATCATCCTCCATGCTGGTCCCACCCCCCCCCCCCACACACACACACAGCACTGGGACCTCTCTGCACAGCCATACTCCCTGCCACGCTCCAAGGGGTGCCATCTCCAGTACCCTGGAATCCGAAAAGTCAGGTGCCTTATCCCTGCTCACACATGAGAGGCAGACACACTGCCCAACTAGGGAGCCACATGGGCTTCCCGCTTCCTTCTCACCCCTAAGCCAGCTCCAGGAGCACAACTGAGGTACTGTCCCTGCTCCCACACAGAGTTGAGCCTAGCTCCTCCCTTCCTTGCTGGGACACACCCACCAGCAGGGCACAGGGAGCCACAGTAGAGGCAGAGGGCAGGCTGTCCACTGGCGGCTGTCCCAGCTCAGCAGGCTAGGCCAGGGAAGAGAAGGGGCTGGCAGAGCATGAGCATTCACCCCCAGGCAGAGAGCCAGCCTCTCGGCCTCCAGACAGGAGCCCCTCTGTCCTGGTGCAATGAGCTGACCTTTAACTGGCCAAAGGTCACACTGGCTCCATTCCCCCTGCTGGAGAGGAAGAGCCAGGGGCAGGAGAGCCAGGCCAGGGTCCCTCCATGCCAGCCTCTCCTCTCCTCTCCTCCCCCCCACCCTGCCTCCTCTTGCCCTGTCTGTCCTCCTTCCTTCCCTGGAGCCCCGTCCTTCCTCCTGGCCCTTCATTGTTTTACTTTTGATTTGCCTGGCACTTTGTAGTTCACTCAGGGTTTTTACATTTATCATCACATTGAATCTGCACCAGGGAAGAGATGGGGAGGCATTAAAAATTCCTTCAAATTGCCAAGTGTTCTTGTTAAAAATGCAAACAACTCAGAACTAAGAATGAGGCTGCAGGCATGGGCTTCAGAGCGAATTTGTTTCAGCGTCTGCTTCCTCCTGGGTCCCCACTCCCACCCCAGGAGATGGATGGGATGCAAGGAAGAGGAGAGCTTGGGGGAGCAGGGTCTCCAACTGAAAAGAGAAGAAGGCAGCCCCAGAGGGGGCAGGAAGCTATGGGGACAGATATGAGGACACAGCAGCCAATCCTGCAATGTTGCACAGAAAGAATGCAGCCTCACTGGGCCTTAAGTTCTCGTCCAACCATCCCCTCTCTTCCCACCTCTCTGAAATTTACTACTCATTCTGCTGTCTCTGCCAGAACGCTTTCAAAATGGAGCCATGAAGTCCAAACCTTACGTGAGGGAGGAAGAATGGCCAGAGCTCCTCAGCCCTGATCCTCCCCCTTCCCCAGTGCTGCCACATGGCCCAGAGATCCAGCTCCGGAGCAAAAGCCCTGGGCAAAAGCAGTAAAGCTTATCTCAAAAAATAATAATAACTAAAGCAAAAATAAGAGCTTGGGATGCGACTCAAGGGATAGAACACTGGTTAGGCAAGTGCTAGGCCCTGAGTTCATATCACAATACCAAAAAATAAAAATAAATAAAAGACTCCAGGGATCTAGGCAAGCTCATTGCGGGTAGGCTTACTTTCTAGAGCTCCACTCCCATCCCATTACACAAATGAGCAGCCAAACAGAAATACAGAGAGCTCCCTGACTGTCTGACTTACAGCTGACCATCCACGATAATGTTAGGCTTTAGAGCTCAATTAAACATGCATGGATTGCAATTCCGCCGCCTTGATGGCTTTGATTCCAGCTCCCGAACACTTTCCTTGGCCGTTGATGAAAGTTCAGAGGGCCCAGACGCTGCACATAAGTCCCCAGTGCTGGACCTCAGAGAATGCAGGCGTGAGCCTGAAGAAACCCAATGATGGGTTTGAAAGAAATGTAGTAAAGGTGTGTGGGTGTGGGGGGGGCAGTATTAGGAGTTCTGCTTAAGGTTTGCTTAAGCCCCCCTCCTCCAGGAAGCCTCCTCTCCAAGAGAACCAGGGCCGTACAGTTCCAAGAGGGGCTGGGAAGCCCCTGGTCCCCACCTACCCTCCATGCCATCCTCACGGTGCCCACTGAAGTTGTCGTAGGAATCCCAGCGGATGAGGGGGTCGGAGGTATTGTAGTCCACAGACACGCTTGGCCCGTTCTCCAGGTGCTCCATGCCTGAGTGGGATGGGAAATGGCGGGGGGGGGGGGGGGGGGAAGGGCCAGGAAGGGGAGATGGTGGGGAGAGGGGAGAAGGGAGAAGGGATCAACAGCGGGAAACACAGAAAGTCAACAAGTACCCCCAGGGATGTTCCAGAGGGACTTCCCTGTTCCTGAGCTTGGTGGGGGTGGGGAGCTGGGGGCTGGGCCTGGGTGGAGAACCCAGGGGTCTGGCTGCCTGCATCCCTGAACTCACACTGGGTCAGGGGGTAAATCAGGACAGGACACTGATGAATGAAGACCTTCTAAAGACAACAGGGCACCCCCTCCTTGCCCCCTCCCCTCCCCCCCTCCACTGGTTGGTCTGCCTCTTTCTTCTTTTCTGGGACCTCTAAAGCCAAGGAGCGACACATGTGCCCTGGAGCCCAGAGAAAGGAATATGGGACAGGCTTGTCATGAGCTGCCGGGGGCCCACGACAGCAGAGAGATCACAGCCCGGACAGTGAGAGGCCACAGAGCCCCTCAAAGGCCGTGGCCAGCTTGCTTAAAATGCTTTCCATTCCAGACAGACATCTCTAGGGAGAGGCGGAGTCTCTTCCTCATCCTCAGATGGTCGACTCATCAGTGAGCTACTTTTCTGGCTTGGCAGTCCTTTCTTTTGCTCTATCCAGAGTGTCTCTGCCTATCACCTATCTTCATCTCCTCTCATGGTATTTTCAAATAAGACGAACAACTGGTCCCTGTATTTAGGCTAGAGGCTTAAAGCTATTATTAAATTGGCCTTTGAGGTTGAATCACCTCAGTTCTCATAAATAACCCTCCTTCTCTAGCACCTCTGAGTGGCTCTCCTGGCTATTTCCTTCCACTCACCAAAGCCCTCGGGCTCTGACTATAACCAGGTGGTGACTTAATGGGACCAGAACAGTTTGTCCAAGCCAGCGCCTCTCTTGTTAGCTTTTTGTATCTTTTTATAATCCGGAGATTAAGCGACTGGTTCCTGCTTAGCTGGGGGTCCACTGTGATCCTGAGCTCCTGGTTGGCTGGCCCACCTCTCAAGCACAGGTAACCTGGTATGTATAGAGCTGACTAGTGGCAGGATGGTAAGGAGCAAGAGGGACAGGTGAGGATGGAGGGAAGGGACACAAGAATGAATTAGAACTTCTGCAAATACCTTGAATTTTCTCTGGCCCGTAAGAAAACACAAACTCCACTTTGCCATATTCTGGAAATCGATCATCTATAAAAAGACAAGGAAATACAAAAACAAGCAATGAATTCCCAAAAAGGACTCCAGAAAGGATTCTAAAAAATGAAGTCATATCCAGGCACCGGTGGCTCGCATCTGCAATCCCAGCTACTCAGGAGGCTGAGGTTCAAAGCCAGCCCAGGCAGCAAAGTCTGAGACTGTTATCTCCAATGAAGCACTAGAAAACCAGAAGTAAAGTTGTGGCCCAAGTAGTAGAGAGCTAACTTTGAGCAAAAGAGCTGAGGGACAATACCCAGGCCCTGAGTTCAAGCCCCACAACCCAGACAAAACAAAACAGAAAAATGAAGTCATATGTATATGGCTAATGATATAATAATTAACATGTTTATATCTGTTTGTGTATATACATGCATAATGAAATCATAGCTCCTGCCTACCCTAACCCCTGTGCTATTTGCCTGAAGTAACTTGCCTACTAGGCAAGTGCTGCTATTTGGGTGACACCCGAGCCCTTTCCACTTTAGTTTGTTTCTTAGGTAAGGGCTCCTCTTGTATTTTTTCCCAGGCCAAACTCAGATGGGATCCTCTGACCTCCACCTCCTGAGTATCAGGGATCTCAGGCTTGTGTGGCCCAGTGGAGGTTGAAAAAAATGACTGTTCACAGGACACACTGGAGAGAGCAGGAGGACAGAATGAAGAAGAGAGATGTGGGACAAAGAGGAGGCGGAGGTACACCGTCTGAAGTAGCCCTAGTCCCAGAGGAAGTGACTGCAGCCTGAAGCCCCAGGCAACCCCAGTTTTAACTCTGTTCTAATTTCCAGTCACTTCCCTCCCACATCACTAGGAACACCCAACACCTAGTGGACGGTGGAGCTCACCACCGCAGAAACCCACCGCATCTCCTCACCCTGGGCTCTGCTCAGAGCCACAGCAGCCCCGCTCAGGAAGCCCACCTTTGAAGGCATCATCAAGGTCCTCCTTCCCAAACACAACTCCCAAGTCATGAATGGCACAGGTGTGGAACTGCACACGGAAGATGACGTCCCGGGCTGGGCTGCGGAACTTCTTGTGGTAGCACTTCAGCTGGGGGAGGCAAGGGGCAAGGGTTGGGGAGTCAGGCCCCCGGAAAGCTTCCTGATTGGCTTCACTGAGCCCCAAGCTTCACCCAAACCCATGATCAAGAGGTCACCAATATAAGAGCTCAGAGCTCTGAGGAAACTTCTGGAACAGCCAAGGGACTAGTCCTGAACTGTCCTAGGAAGGTCCCATACACACAGGGAAATAGCAAAAGAGCGGGCTTGCCTGCAGCAGGCAAGATTAAAGTTAGAATCAAAGCATCACTGACACAAGTAGGGACCCAGGAGGTAAATACTAAGTGGTATATCTCTAGAAATCCAAGTAGTTGTCATGCAGTGCAGGTGACTCACACCTGTAATCCTAGCTACTCAGGAGGCTGAGATCTGAGGATTGTGGTTCAAAGCCAGCCCAGGCAGGAAAGTCTGTGGACTCTTATTTCCAATAAACTACCTCCAAAAAAGCTCAGAAGTGGAGCTGTGGCTCAAGTGGTAGAGCACTAGCCTTGAGCCAACGAAGCTCGGGGACAATACCCAAGCCCTGAGTTTAAGCCCCAGAACCTGCATCCCCAAAAAGGGGGGTGGGGAAGGGCTTTGGCTTAGTTACATTATCGTTTTCACTTTGGGTTTTTAGGATTCTGCTACATTCCTCTTTTGATTTAGTGAAGTATTGAGAAGTACAGTTGGCTTACTCACGTTAAGTAAACGTCACAATAAGCTGTTTTATGAACGAATCAGCACAGTTCCCCAAATCTGACGTCAAGTGATGCTCATTTGCTAATAACTTGATTCAATGAATGTAATTAAACTGATAACATTTCAATGGTCTTTACAAGGTATAATTAAATGAGGTATTAGAGAATAAATGTGACTGCTTTTTTTTTTTTTAAAGAAAAAGAAAAGAAATCTGAGTAGTTCCCAGGGAAAGGACACCAAGGCTAGGACAGGAGAGGGGACCAAGGCTGTTAGAATCTGGGCAGCGCTGCAGGACCTAGGAGCCCAGAATTCTAAGCCCCACAGCCTACCAGAAAAGATCACCGTGTCCCCAGGGGGAGGTAGTGACATAGGAAGAGAGAGAAGAGGTACGCTGAAAGGGAAGTCGGCCCTCACCAAGATGTCTCCCTTCAGGAGCAGGCCTGGTTCGATAGTGATGCAGATGCTGGTCTGGCTGTCCCCTGGGATGTTGCTGGGGGGGAGAGGTGGGTGGAGGAAGAGGGTTACAGCGGGGAGGGACTGCATGTTTTCCCCACCGTCCCTCTACACAGAGCTGCTAGGAACCCATACTCTCTTCCTCCCTCCACCCCTCTTGGGAAGAAGAGGTGTGGGCAGCCTTTGGTCTCCCACTCTTGGATCCTCAATCTGGGCCTTGGACATTCAGCTTCCATGGGCCACTTACTAGATGCCAGAGGTGTAAACAGGTTGCATGGCTTGGTAGATGCGGAGAAATGGCCGACACCCTGTCAGAGAGGGATGTGGGTGTTAGCTAAGAAGCACACATATGGGAAGGAGGGGAGAGGACAGGGTGAAGGAAGAGAGAGAATGGAAGGGAGAGAGGAATTGGGGAAGAGAAAAGGAGGAAGTAGAAAGGGGGGAACATACTAACTTTCTATTTGTAAGTCATTTTAACTTGATAAAACTTTGCTACATCTAACACTATCTACCTAGACTCTGTATGGAGGCCATTTGCAGATGAATGGACTAACATCCTACCTACCTGGGAGGCCAAGGTCCGGAGGAATCACAGTTCCAGGGCACTCTATGCAAAATAAAGTTTGTGTGACTCCATCACAACCAATGGGCAGGCATGGTGGCACACGCCTGCCATCCCCAGTGACATGAGGAAACACAAGTAGGAAGACAGCAGTCCCCAGACTGGCCTGAGCATAAACTGAGACTCCATGATGAAAGTAAAAAAGGGACTAAGATGTGCTCACATGGTCGAGCACAAGCCTAACAAGCGTGAGTTCAAATCTCAGTGCCATCAAAAATTTTAAATTAAAAAAAAAAAAAAGTAGTCAAGAAGTGATGCGTTGGAAAGGCCAACACCAAGCCTTTGGCCTCCCCAGCTTAAGATATCCTGACCACCCCCTCCTGCCTCCTACGCCAAGGAGAAGGACAGCAAGCTAGGCAGAAGGAAGGCGAGGGCTAGAGCAGTTACCTCCTTTAGACTCAAAGTTAGGGATGCCGTGCATGATCACATGGTGCAGAAACAGGGGCTTGTTGTTCATTTTGATGGAGCCGGAGAGCAGGCCGCTGAAGTAATGCACATACCTGCCACAGGGAAAAGGCGGCTTCAGGGAGGGGCCTGGATTGGTACAGTTTCCCTGTTCTCATTTCTGCAGGAATATTCCCCAGAGCAGGACTCCCTCCCGGCCTGCTGCGAGTTCCAGGAAGAAAATCAAAACAGAACAGGGAATGCAAACCTGCATCTAGACCAAGGTACCCACTTGGAGTTCTACAGCACCCCCTGGTGGTCTCTTCCTGACTCACTCTCAGCCCAGGGAACCCTCCATCGGCCAAAATTCCTTCTGAACAAGGAAAGTTTATCGACTAGCAAGCATCTCGGATAGCTTCACACTGAGCCAACCAAGCCTATGCTTATTCTTGTCCCAAGTTTGTACTTCTGTTTTGGTTCTGCCCTTACACCCTCCAGACACAGGGTCATCCAGAAAATAATTAGTGCTTCATTAATAATTACAGTGCTTTGTGCCATGCTAACAATTACAGAAGATCAGTCTCTTCATTTGGGATTTGGAATAACTAACTTCCAATAAGTATCTAATCTCCAGGGGTAACAGCCCATATTCTTTTTCACAAAGATGTTACTGTTAAAAGGCCTGACCCACTTCCCTTCCTTACAGATAAAAAGGAAAAATTAGATGTCCCAGGAAGGGACATTGGACTCCCAAAGACACACCAGGCTTGGGGTAGGAGGGAAAGAAAGAAGTCTGAGGTCCAGTGCATCCACCTCAATGATTGATTGGCACTTCCTCTCTTTCTGATTGGCCAAGGAACACTAGGCTGAGTCAGACAGACCAATCAAATTCAACCTGAGTTTCCTGGGAAGCTAACAGCCTATGAGGAGGGTGGAACCGGAAATGCATGACCATGACAGTACTCCCCCCTTCCCGCCTTGGCTCCCTGGCATACCTCCAGCCCCACAGACCACTGTCCCTGAGCCTGGGTGGAGCCACTTCAAACTACCAAGATAATCTGATGGGCAGCCCAGCTCCTATTCAGGACCCTGCCCAGCCCCCCAGTCCCATTACTTAAATCGGAAACCTGGAATGGCAAGTTCCCATCAGATCTCCTATTGGCGCCAACAGGATATGTCTGTGTGCTGGGGACAATGAGTCATAGAGCGGGTGACAATGAATGGGGGAGCTGCAAGCAAAGCTGTCCCTCCACTCCTCCCCCGCCCCCCCCCCATTCTCCTTTCCTCCAGCTGCTCCCATTCACTGTTAGCAACACTGACCGGAGGGAGGGAAAGTGACCACAAACATAGGAAACCCTACGGCTGCACTTTCACATGTGGGTAGATAGGACGGTCTACCCTCAGCAGGCACAGCACCCAATAGCCACTGCAGGAAGATGGTATGTGTGTGTGTGCGTGCACACACACACACACACACACACACACACACACACACACACACACACACACACACACTCCAGCTGAAATGAAAGCACAAGCAGAACACCAAAGGAACCACTCTCACACCAGACGATCCTGCTCTCCACCCTCAGCATGTGTCTCCATCCACATCCTTAACCTTTCAAGGTCAAGGGTCACACCATGCAGCAGTCATGCAGCCAGGAGCCCAGGAGCCCGTACTTGGCCAGTAGTGCTCTCCTCCTCCCTGGGAACATTCTCACTGATCCTCAGCTGCTGTATCTGGGGCCGCAGCGGAATTTTCTGCACTGGTGGCTTATGGTTATAATCCTCACTACTCAGGAGGCTGAGATCTGAGGATCATGAAATAAAGCCAGCCGGGGCAGGCAGGCATGTAAGACTCTTATCTCCACTTAACCAGAAAAATGCCTGAATTGGAGCTGTGGCTCCAGTGATAGAGCACCCGCCTTGAGTGAAAAAGCTAAGGGGCAGTGACCAGGCCCTGAATTCAAGACCCATTATCAGCGTATCACATGCACGCACACACACATACTTATCATTATCTGGAAGGATCTTTTACTTGTGAACTTGGTACCTCCCACAAGAAGCTCAGACTGAGCCCTCTGAGCTTGACAGATTCTGCAGAACTGAGCCGACATACCACAGGCAGGCAGGCCTGAGTCTTACACTCCAGATCATCAGTTCTGTCTGGGTTCCCTAACATTCTAGTGGTGGCTGCACTGTCCCCCGTGACCACCTGACCTTGGCATTGCCTGCTGCGGGTCAGACATCACAGAACCACCCTGCTGCCCACAGAGCCATAGCCTTCTTGTCAGTGATAAGTATACCGCAGGTTGGAGGCCAGCCCTGGCCAGCTGGTACTCATCCTATTGTACCTGCTGGCTCTGCCACCAATTGTCCTAGCTTCCCCCTAGGTTCCTCATAAAATGAGGATGTCCCAGATCCTGAAGATTATCCTCACTAAGTCTCAAAATCACCTCTGACAGCCCCCACTAAAATAGCCCCACCCCTTGCCAGCAGGTCTCCTGTGTGAAGCAAGCCATTCGTCTCAGCAGGCTACCTGGCCCTGGCTAGTATATAAGGTCATTTGTTTCTGGTCTCCCTCCCCCACCCCTCTCTCTCTCTCTGTAGACCATCAGCTCCCTAAGGGAAGAGACCGTGTCCTGTTCACCTAAACATCCCAGTGCCTATAGCTTGAGTTACACAGATCCATGCCAGCCCTGCTTCCTACTTGGGTAATTAAGAGACTTCAGTGAGCTCCATGGTGGCCACGCTTAGCAATGTATTGTAAATGCTCCCAACAGAAGGTGACCCGGGGGTGGGTCTCTGTGACTCCCAGCATGGACAGCAGGGGCATCAGCGTGCTGCAGGTTCATCCCCACATGGAAACCATCCTGTCCTTGACAACAGCACATGTGGCCAGGCTCTGGTGGCTCATGCCTGTTACCCTAGCTACTCAGGAGGCTGAGCTCTGAAACTCATGGGTCAAAGCCACACCCAGGCAAGAGACTCCTATCTCCAATTAGCCACCAAAAGCCAGAAGTAGAACAGTGACTCAAGTGGTAGAGTACCAGCCTTGAGACAAAAAAAAAAATCTAAGGGACAGCGCCAGCACCCAAGCCCTGTGTTCAAGCCCTAATATAAGCACATACCAAAAAAGGACAGTATGTGCCTTCGTTCACTGCACCTGCCACCAGACCCATGCTTTGCCCACGATGCTTTCAGGCAGAAGCCTCTGAAGCCGGCCTGAGGACACACACATGGGCTACAATGAAGGCTTTGTCCTGAGTCCTCACCACTCTAGGCTGGTCTACCCCAACTAAGCAGCTGTTTCTTCTTCTGTAAGTACACAGCCCTCCCACCACCACCCCCTATACACCACGTATGCCCTGGCTGTGAGTTCTGGAGGCCCACCTTCTCTGTGATGGCTGGCCAATGGGCACAATCTTATCTTCATAGAACCGCTTCATGGCAAATCGATCGAGAGCCTGGTCCGCACTGTGGGGAGAGAGGGACAGTCAGAGGAGCCAATGCCCACAGCCAAGAGCTCCTCGTCCCCTTAACGCTGTTCCCCTAGATCTGAAAAGCCTCACAGCTGGTGCCTGGTGCCTGTTAAGGGGGGGGGCAGACCTCCGGCCATGCTGTGTACTAAGCACCTTCAGCTCAGCTTGGGCCACCAACTCAAATCTCCACTTACTGTGACTCTTGGTTCTTCTGAATTATCACCTGTCAGGTGACGGTGATCATCGCACCTTCCTCTGAGGTTTGGTGGAGACTGAAGTTAACACCTTAGAAAGAAGGACCTATGGGTCCTCACAGGGTGCTGAAGAGACCATATTCAAATAAAAGGTGGGCTCCTCCATCCTCACTGCCTGTCTTCCCTCCCTGCTCACCCAGCCAATGAGAAGGCAGCTGGGACAAGTGGCCCCCAGAAGCTGCTGGGTGGGGCGTGCCCCCACAGCTTCCAAGGCCAGGTCGGAATAGACTCTACTTCCTGTGCCGTCTGTGCCCAGGCTCTGCCTCAGAACTGTGGGTAGGTGCCTTCTCCAATTCTGGGGCCTCCTGTGCCCCTCAAGGCCTTATACCCCCTCCTACCTCAAGCAAGGCAGAGACCATAATGGCCGGAAGGGTAACACTGTGCAGAAGGCTGGTCAGGGCACTGACCTGGCAGAGATGTTGCTGTAATGCATGTAAGCCGCAATGACCACACCGATCCTGCCTCGGTTTCCCTGAAAGAGGAAGAGAAGCTTGTAATTCCGTTCTCAGGCAGTCCCTGCTGCCCCAGAACGATTCCAGACTCCAGGAGGAAGAGGAGGAGGAGGCAGGGCAGGGCTCTTACCTTGTTGTGTAGGACAACAACGTTATGGGGGTCAGCGTTGAGCCACGTATCCATGGCCTTGCAGACGCTGCAGATCTTCTCCAGCGCCGGAGTGTGTAGGTCAGGCCAGCCGAATTCCAGGACCTGTGTCCCCAGCCAAGAGTGAGGAGAGGACGGGCCAGCAGGCCAGCCGGGGCAGCACTACCAGCAGCTGGGCCTCATCCTGCTTGTCACCCCTTCTGGGAAGCAGGCAAAGGCCACCAGCCTGGCCTGGAGACCCCAGGCTTCAAGCTGAAGCACCACAGACTCCCTGGGGGGCCCCATGAAGTCCCCACCCCCCCCAACCTTGACTTTCAGGCCTGACCTGCTGAGGGCCCCAGCCCAGCCCTCCAGCCCCTCCCTTACAGCTTGAGAGCAAGGGAAGAAGAGAAAAGAGCTTCCTAGTGCTCATAGCTCTTCATTTGGGGGCCAGCCAGGAGAAGTCTAAGAGCACACAGGGTGACTCTTGACATCAACTCTGGGTTCCTCCAGCCCTTTCTAAACTCACAGCATGTTGAATAAAAGAGCCTCTGTCTGGGACTACACAGGACGCCTTTGCCACCTGTCCACTTTGTATTATACTGAGAGACCAGAATCCAGGACAGACTGTGAATGGAAGATGCGAGGGACAGAAGCAATACCCCACAGAACCCAGTGAGCAAACAGTGTAAGCACAGGCTGCAGGAACCACTTGAATCTAAGAACTGAAAATTCTGGTATAAGGTGGTACTTGAACTTAGGACGGGCTTTTCTAGCTTTCCCTGTGATTTCAGAGGGTAAACCCCCCATTCTCCTGCTGTTCCCCACAAAATGAAGTCACCCCCAAACAGCCATAGGCTCACCTTGGTGTGAAGCTTCGTGATGTCAGGTCTCCGCTCAGAGAGGTTAAACAACTAAAAGGACAGAAGGGACGGAGGAGGTGAGGATCAGGAGGGCTGGGGGAGGGGAGGAGCAGCAAGGATACCCCCTGGTCACCCGGATATGGAGGTGTCATTTCCAGCTCCTCTAACCCCAGTAATGGCCAGGCAGAGCTGCAAGGAGCCCTAGCAGACAGGGTCCTGGGCCATATGCCAGTCAGAAGTACTTGGCTCTCCTGTGCTACCTGTCACTCCCTTCCTGATTGAAATTCTGTTCATAGCTGAATACAGGTTGCCCAACAAGGTCAAGATAGGAAACAAGAAGTTTTGTTTTTTGGTTTTTTTTTTTACTTTTTGTGGTACCTTTTTTTTCTGTTTTTCCCTTTGTCTCAGTTTTTTTATTTCTGTACCTTTTTTTTTTTTTTTTTTGAGGGGGGGCGGGTCCGGTTGTGGGGCCTGAACTCTGGGCCTGGGCGCTGTCCCTCAGCTCTTCAGCTCAAGGCTAGCACTCTACCACTTGAGCCACAGCGCCACTTCCGGCTTTTTTCTTTTTGTTTATGTGGTGCTGAGGAATCGAACCCAGGGCCTCAGGCATGCAAGGCAAGCGCTCTACCACTGAGCCACCTTCCCAGCCCTATTTCTGTAACTTTTTGCCTTGTATGTAGTTTATCTGAGTTGGGGAGGGGGAGAAGCACAGAAACGGTGGGACAAATGGTGAACTAATTCAGCAGTGATACCCACTGGACACCATGTTGGAAAAGAACTATACAATGTGGGAGAAGAGAGTCCAGGAGGGGAAAACTGGGAGAAAAGAAAAGTTACCTGACTTATATAACCCCTCTGTACATCACCTTTACAGCAAAAATTAAAAAAAAAGAAACCAGAGCGGTGAGGCTACGCCCCTCATGAATGACCACACCCCTCATGGAAGGCCACACCCCTCAGGACTGACCACACCCCTCATGGGAGGCCACACCCCACATGAATGACCACAGCCCTCATGGAAGGCCACACCCCACATGAATAACCACAGCCCTCATGGAAGGCCACACCCCTCAGGACTGACCACAGCCCTCATGGGAGGCCACGCCCCTCATGAATGACCACACCCCTCATGGAAGGCCACACCCCTCAGGACTGACCACAGCCCTCATGGGAGGCTACACCCCTCATGAATGACCACACCCCTCATGGGAGGCCACACCCCACATGAATGACCACAGCCCTCATGGAAGGCCACACCCCACATGAATAACCACAGCCCTCATGGGAGGCTACACCCCTCAGGACTGCCCACACCCCTCATGGGAGGCCACACCCCACATGAATGACCACAGCCCTCATGGAAGGCCACACCCCTCAGGACTGACCACACCCCTCATGGGAGGCCACACCCCACATGAATGACCATAGCCCTCATGGAAGGCCACACCCCTCAGGACTGACCACACCCCTCATGGGAGGCCACGCCCCTCATGAATGACCACAGCCCTCATGGAAGGCCACACCCCACATGAATAACCACAGCCCTCATGGGAGGCCACGCCCCTCAGGACTGACCACACACCTCATGGGAGGCCACACCCCACATGAATAACCACAGCCCTCATGGGAGGCCATGCCCCTCAGGACTGACCACACCCCTCATGGGAGGCCACACCCTACATGAATAACCACAGCCCTCATGGGAGGCCACGCCCCTCATGAATGACCACACCCCTCATGGAAGGCCACCCCCCTCAGGACTGACTACATCCCTCATGGGAGGCCACACCCCTCATGACTGACCATGCCCTACTGGTCACACCCCATGAATGACCACACCACTCATGAGCAGAGATCCTGATAGAAGATGAGCAGGAACAGAACCCCGCTGGTGGTATAAATAGCCAGCATGTGACCATCTCCATTTTCCACTTTCTTCTCTGACTTTAGAACCATCACATAATAATGCAACTTCCCTTTCCCAGACACCCTCCTTCAGAGGGTGCACAGCACCCTGGGGGGCCCTCACAGACCTGGACCTACCTCTCCCAGCACATGCCCCTCCACGCCTAGCCATACCCCGTGCAAAGCCCCTGCTCCCAGAGTTCTTCCCTCCCCTCCATGACGGTGAGCACAACTGCTCATCTCCACCCACTGTCCGGAAACGCCAAGGCCACCATGTCACCGTCAACACAGCCTGGCCTGGGATGGACAGGATGGACAGAGCTGTGACAACACAGCAACCCACTGAATCCTGTATTCCTGGAATCAGGCAAGCATTTAGGGTGCTTCTCAGCCACTCCTGAACCCTACATTACATTAAGAATGGCTACCAGTCAGTGAGTGCCCACCACCTGCTAGCCCGTGCCAAGGACTTTACATCTGATTGGCTTCCTCCTCTCAGAAGCCGGCTGAGGTGAGGAGTATTAACAGAGCTGCTCTGTGGATCCGTGAAGCAAAAGGGCCAAGATCACATGGTTAACAAGCAGAGTCAGGATTTGAACCCAGGACTTTCTGACATTTCCAGCCATGCTACTAGATGGGTTTCTGTAGTAAGCTGAAAATGTCCCCCAAAATTCATGCCCACTTGACCTTCACAGTATGATCATAGTTAAAATAAGGCCTTTGTAGGCAGTTAAGGATCTCCAATGTTTGATTCTCCTGGGTTTGCGGTGGTCCTGAATCTGACAACGGATGTCCCTGTCACAAGAGGAGGGGACACGCCTAGTGGCCCAGGGAGGACTGAGGAGGCAGAGAATGGTGACAGGTGACAAGCCAGGAGGGCCCAGTACTGGTTGCCACCTGAAGCCCGAAAGAGACAAGACAGGAGTCCTCAGGGAACATGACCCTGGGGATGCCTTGATTCCAGACCTCTAGCTTCCAGCCCTGTGACACAGGACATGCGTGGCCACTTGCTTCTGCAGCCCTGGTACACACGCACTACCTCCCCGCCCAGCTCCACGCAAACACCCGAGGACAGTGCGTACAGCTGGCGCCTGGGTCAGCCACGTGCATCTTGCTGTCAACGGGACCTGAGCCTCACCCTGGGCCAAAGGTGGGTGACCCTTCCTGCATCAAAGGCACATCCCCAGCCATCTTGCCCACACAAGTCACGTGGCCTCCAACGACTCCTGAGGGCCAGCCACAAGGTTCCCAAAGTCAGCCCTACAGTGTCCCAGGAAAACCAATACCAGCTCTGCCCCCCAGACTCTGAGGCTTAGCCCAGAATCCCATGTTTCAGCTCTAGGAAGTGCCTGCTGTCCAGGGCAGTTCTGCAGGAAAACGGGATTTGGCTCCACGGAAATGCTCCAAAGCCTAACTTGTGTTGCTATTCTCTGCTCCTGGCGCGCGCGCACACACACACACACACACACACACACACACACACGCACACGCACACACACACACACACACACACACACACACACACACACCGCTTAGTTCCAGCAGCTATGTCTGGCTACAGGTGTTCTCCTTAGAACTGGCACAGTCTGGAGAGGGTTGAAGACTCAGGCCACAAGAGATACCCAGGAAACACCAAGGACAGCAGAGAGGCACCAGGCGGGTGGAGGGTGGGGTCCAGGGGACCCGGAGCGGCAGAGGAGCCGCCACCGCCATCTTACCAGGTAGCTGCCTCCATGCTTGGACTTGAGCATGTGGGCCACCTGGCGGAGGTTGCTGCGGAAGTTGTCCTCGTTGGCCGTGCTGGGGAAGGACACGGCAATGATCCTCTCCGTGACGTACACCAGGTCCAGCTCACAGCTGTCCTCCACCGTCCTGCTTCCGCTCATGTTTCTAGGGAGACAGTGAGCCAGCCAGGGTGGGGGAGGAGGTGTCAGATCAGAATCCAGCCCTAGGACAAGCTTCAGAGGCCTGCACCCTGGCATTCGAGACATGAGCTCTCCATGTCCAGCCAGGGAGCTCGACGGATCCCTGGCCTCATGGGCAAAGTCAGAAGCTCCCTGTAAGAGGCCAGTGTGAGAGGCTGAGAGCGCCAGACTCAGCAAGCAGGTCCAGGGCCAGTGAGGGCCTGAGACCATGTCAGAGATAGGCTGGGAGGCCAGGACCTGCCCAACCAGGAACCCAGGAGCTCAGGCCTGTCTCCAGAGGATCCAGAAGAGGAAAAAGGGCCTTGACAGGTGCTCCCAACACCCCCGCCAAGCCTTCTCCTGCCTCCCCCTTGGTCCTGCTAGGATGGGTCAGGAGATCTCTCAGGAAAGGAGGCGGATCTCAGGTGACTTGCCCATGTGGGCTTCAGGGCAGCCAGACGGTGGTGAGTGCCCCAGCCCTCCCTCAGGCAGGCAGATGCCGCCCTTTGTCCTGGCTCTCCCCACCCCTGCCAGGGCCGCTTCTTGGCTGCAGCCTCCCTGCTTTCTAAGGGCCCCGGAGTCCTGAGGGTGTTGGTGTGCTGCTGCCGGTAAGAGCAGGTCCTCAAGAGGTGGGCTCCCCGTGAGCTGAACGGCTAGATGAGGGGGCCAGGGCCTCACATCTGTACACATCTCCTGGCTTTTCTCCCATGGGAGGGCAAACTAGAGATGGAACCCTAGATGGACCCCAGGATCTTGGACGTGCTAGGCAAGTGCTATACCGCTGAGCCACACCCCAGCCCACCTCCTCTAACCAACTGGGCAACTCTCCAATCCCATTCTGCCAACACTATAACTGTGTAGAACAGAGACTAGGGCAGGAGAGCTGAAAGAGAGGGGGTCCCTAGAAATGGTGAGCCCACGGCCTGTGGCAGAGGGGCCTACAAGAATCCAGACCTGCAGGTCCCCGGCCAAGGATGAGCTATGGTTTCTCTGGGGGGGGGGGGGGAATGAGAGATAGCAGGGACCATACCCATGCACAAACATCTTCAACATGGAAACACCCGGGCAGGGGTCCCGGAAATATACAGCACACTCCAGAGCCCCTCTGAGGAGAGCTCTGGGAAAGGCCAGCATTGGCAGAAAACTTATAAAGCCAGTATCTGTCTTTCCGGGGGTGGGGACATAGGGGTGACAGACCTGAGTCAGCCCCCCCCCCCCTCCCGCCTGTCCTGAGCTCAGACCTGCCCCACCCTCAGCCTGGATCCCATGGAAGATGGGAAGCAGAGCAGCGCCACCATCTGGACAAGATCTGTATTGCATCCTGACTAGACCACCCCAGGTACCCTAAAGAGCCACCATGTCTTTGGGCAACTGGCAGCTGAGCCAGAACCACCAGAGGCTTCTGCCACCCACCCAGGCTGGCATACTGACTCATCTCGGGAGTCTCTGGAGATGATGATGAGGCAGAGAGGGAGGGAGACTAAGCCACAGAACCTGGCTATAGTCCAAAAGGACTGGGCTGCAGGGCACAGGACTGTGGAAACCCTGTTCCCATGTGGAAAACTTTCCTTTCACAAATGAGGCCCCAAAGGCAGAAAGCCCATCTTCTAAGAACAGGATCTAGCACAGGCCTGGTGGCAGCTGGCCCTGGGCTCCTCCTCAGCCAGCACCATTACCTGTTTGCAAGCATGGGAGATCTCATGCAGGTAAATCAAGAACGCAGCTCATGGTCTGCCTCAGAGCTAAGACCATTCACCCCACCTCTCACAGAAGCTTCCTGTCCTCAGTCCTGGGGACCCCTCCCGACGAAGCATGACTAGAGACCACGCACGAGGTACCCCACTACTTGCCGCCTCTCCCCACACCCTGGTGGGCCAAGCATACCTGGTGGGCTGCGGCTGGGGCTGGAGACTCGGGGTGACTCTGGTGATGCCCTGGGTAGGAGAGAAGAGACACAGCATTATGGAGGGGAGGGGGCGTGGGAGGAGAGCAGTTGGGGTGCTGAGGCTGCCCGCCCCCTGTGGGCATGCTCCCCTCGGTGCAAGCCCCTAGGGGACAGAAAGAAGAAGCTCCCGATTCCAAGAAACCCTCCCACCGGGGCTGAGGCACACCCTGTTAACAGTACTGAATCCGTCCTGACTCACTGGGCCACCGCAGTGGTCACCCCACGTACAAAGACGGATCACAGCCTCACAGCCTCGAACGCCACAGGATGACAGCAGGGACAGCCCTCCGTCCAGCTCGGAATCTGTCACCCCATGCTCCCCTCCCCTCCTCAAAAGCAGTCACATGGAGTCATTTGATCCAGTTCTGAGAGGGCAAGGTGAGGGTAGAATGTGGTCAAAGTACAGCCTAGACACACACACAGAGGTCATCCCTGAGACGCAGAAATCTGGATAATCACGGTTCAAGACCAGCCCAGGCAAAAAGTTACAGACACACCCCATCTCCACCAATAAACTAGGAATGGTGGTAACATCCATAATCCCAGCTCTGAGGAAGACACAGGAGGGGAGATGGAGAGCTGAGGCCAATTGGGGAACAAAAGAAGCTATATCCAAAAAATAAAGGGCTAGAGGGATGGCTCAAGTGAAGAATACCTGCTACCGCTAAAAATAATAACTAATAGTTTCAAGAAAGTTGTTTTTTTTTTTTTGGTTTTTTGGACATGGGGCTTGAACTCTGGACCTGGGCACTCTCCCTCAGCTCTTCAGCTCAAGGCGAGTGCTGTACCACTTGAGCCACAGCACCACTTTCAGTTTTCTGGTGGTTTATTGGCAAAAAGAGTCTCACGGACTTTCTTGCCCGGGCTGGCTTTGAACTGCGATCCTCGGATCTCAGCCTCCTGAGTAGCTAGGATTACAGGCGTGAGCCACTGGCACCCGGCTCAAGAAAGTTTTGAGTCAGAAAATCTGAACACATCATAAAAACAGAATCAAGTGCTGTGGCAGTGGGTTGAGCTTCTAAAGCCCCCCATGTCTGAATTTTCAAGGTTGTTGGTTGTACAAAATTCAGAAAACACCCCCCAAGCAGATGGCCCAAACCCAAACTCCCCAGGGCAGTGGGGGGGGGGGGGGGGCGGAGAGCAGGGGTCACACACAGACACTTGCTCTGGGCCCCAGCATCATGCCAGGGACACAGCCCTCTGAGCCTGGAGCAGAAGAGATCACCTCTGATCTGAGGATCACAGTTCAAAGCCAGCTCTGGCCAGGAAAGTCCATGAGACTCTTATCTCCAATTAACCATCCAAAAAAACCGGAAGCCAAGCTGTGGCTCAAGTGGGAGAATGCTAGCTTTGAGCTAATAAAGCTCCGAGGTCCTGAGTTCAAACCCCAGAACTGGCACCAAAAAAAGGAAGGGGGTGGGGTAAATTCCCTGGTAAGTCTATTACAACCAAGCAAGCCTCCAGACATGAAAACTCTGCACCGCTCACCCCAGCAGCCACCCATCCAACATCCACCCCCGTGACTCGGGCCGGACAAGCCACCCATCCCAACATCCACTGCCCCCCCCCCCCCGCCCCCGCTTGTGACTCAGGGTCGGACACTCTCACCTCCTGAAGGAGACAGCAACAACAGTCTACCAAGGAGAGATACTGAGGCACAGAGGACCGTGCAGGATTCGCACTCAGACCTGCGCTGGACCAAGGTCCTCTGTTGGTGCTGCTGTGCGTACAAAGCAAGGGAGGGGGGCTCTGGAGCCCGGCTCCTGGTGCAGCCCAAACTCAGGGCAGCTCGCTAGAGGCAGTTTCTCCATTCAGCCTCCAGATGAGGCTGGAGGAAGATAAAGAAGAGTCTCCTGCCTGGGCTGCTGGGGGCTCGGGACAGCTGCGGCACGCAGGAAGGAGGCTAGCAGGACTGTCGGGTGGAAAGTTCCTCAGTCTCCCAGCTCTGCTGGTCCCGAGGACTTGGGGTTGTGCATGAGTCAGGCAGGGGAGGGGAGGGGGGAGGGTTGCGGTTGGTTTGCAAGCCCCAAACCGGAGCGTTCCAAAACTACCCACCCAGAGGAAAGCAGAAACCCAACACTTCATCCATCCCAAATCTGCTGGGCCCTGATGAGGCGGCCCTGACTCGCCCCAGGCCCTGGGCCCGGCTCCAGAGCCCCCAGGGTCACCCTGCTATAAATAGCCCCGTGGGCTCCATCTGCCGCTGGTCTGCAGCCACCCTTGGAGGTCGCCAGCCACAGCTGCCGAGAAGGAACAACTGGAGGCCACCACGCCGCCAACCCGAGGAGGGGCCACGCGGCCTGGGGCCAGGAGAGGGAGCCAGAGGCACAGGACGGCCAGCCTGGGACAGAGGCACCGGGAGAAAGGGGAAAGGAGGCCTGGCCTGTCCACACACCGCCACACCCCACATTCTTCAGCCTCCCTGCCCCGCAGCCCCTCCTTCCTCCCCCCCCCCCCAAAAAAAAGCCAGGGAAGATAAATAAAAACTTGGCCCAAAGGGAGTCTGGCCACGGCCGCCTCCAGAGGTGATAAGAGAGGCCGCAGCTGGCTCGGAGCCATCAGGACAGAAAGGCAAAGGAAGAAGCTGCCTGGGACAGTGACCCCGCCCCAAAGGAGGGGGACGGATGGACGGACGGACAGCTGGACAGACTGTCAACCTCTGCTGAATCACCGAGCTGCGCTCCACTGCCGGGGCTTCCTGTTTAGCAATGAGCAGACGTGTGCGGGGACACAGCTGAGCGTCCCCGGGGAGCTGGGGACCCCCACATCCAGCTGGTTGTCTCCTGCAGAGGCTCTTTACCAAAGAGGGTAAGTCAAGGCCTCCAGAGACTGGGGCCCTGACCACACCCTTCCCCCACCGAGGGGGACAGCGACCACTGTGTGGGCCAGGCCAGGCGGCCAGGGGGCCTCCAGCCCCCAACCTCACAGGGCTAGCACTCAATAGTCAGGACAGAGCCAGGTCATTTGCCCGTCTGTAAAATGGGTACAGCACAGGACTTGTCAGATCCCCTTACTCACCCATCCCACTCCAAGGGACAACTCTATTTTTAGAAGAAAAAAAAATAAGCTCTCTACCTATCTACGATCCTATTCTTTTCCTCTCAGAAATTTCAAAGCCCTTAACCTATTTTAGAACTTTCTCCTAGCTCCTCCCAAGACAGACCAATAAGAGAACTTTTGATTCAACTCCCTAGGCCCCAAAGAGAACTCTCTCTTATCCTCTTCTCCAGAACACATCTCTCCTTTGCAGAAAGGGCACCATGAAAGGAGATCCCACAGACTCTCTGCCGAGACACAGTGTCACTTTTCCGTCAGGAAGTTCCTCCTGGTATCTAACCATCATCCTTCCTGCTGCAGACTCAGTCAACTCTGCCTTGGTCCCAGCTGTGGGCAGGAGGAGCTGATCATCACTCTGACATGCCTGGGTGGCTCTAGCTCTCTGCTCCAGGCTTCATTATTTACTGTGCCTTTCCCCACCGGTGGGCAGGCAGGAACCTCAGACCTTGGGGGCAAGGCGGGGTGGGGGAGTGGGGGCTGGATATAGCAACACTGGTGTGGGAAGAGAACCGGCTTCCTTTGAGATCCACAGAGAAGAAGAAGGAAAAAAAAAAACCCTCTGAACAACAACAACAAAAGCTGTTTCCTGAGCCCCAGTCCCTGTGGGTGGGTGGGGAGGAGGGTCTAGGAGTGGACAGCAGGGTCAGGTCAGGCCTACCTACATCAGGAGCCCCTCCTCATTCCTGGGTCTCGTGGAGGGGGGGGCCTGTGCCCCCCCCCCCCGCCCCTGTACCCAGCCACACCCCTTCCTCTCCCTTTCCTGCCCACCAGCCTGGATTTTTCCAAAACAAAGTGCGACATAGCACAGGATCCAGAGTCCCGGCCACGCCGACCCTGTCAAGGAAAACAGCTCTTCCTGCGCTGTGAGTTCTGGGCCAGGGCCAGAGGCAGGGAAACAGCCCCTCAGAAGCACAGCAGGGCAGCCGCCCGCCCGAGCTGGGCCCGTGCTGGCTGGCACACAGGCTCCCCCTTCCCTGGGCCTCACGGGAGGGTCCTCCCCCCCCCCCCGCCTCCCTCCCCGCTCCCCGACTGCCCCATGGACCCACATACCTGGGGCAGGAATGTAGGGGCCTTCCTCACTGCTCTAGAACCTGCTCCCGGGTCGGACTAACGGGCCTTACTTTGTGCTTCCTCCTAGACCCAGACAGACCCCACTCCACCCAGCCCTGACAGACAGTCACATCCATTCCTGATCAATTAATTCAACAAACAAACCAACAAGTAAGCAAGCAAAAAACTTCAACACAACTGAATGGCCACCTCTTTCTTCCAAAGTCATATATGCCTCCTCAGCGTACAGTTCTTCCTGCTGTCTGACCTCAGTCTCCCTTGACGTAGCTCTAGTTTATTGGCCCAAGCTGGGGAGGTAGAGAGAAGCGAGGAGCTCTAGGATGAGGCTTTTCAATGTGAGCCAAGGGTTTGAAGTGTCCCCGAAAAACATCCGATGCAGACAATTAGCCTAGGAGAGGATGGTGGCGCATTCCTACTGTCGCTGAAGCTTCTGTTTCCTCAACTGTCACACGGATCGGATCGCGGCCTCGGACACAGCCCACGTCCTGAGTATAGAGGACACCCAGCCCAGCTCCTAGCCTTGAATCAAAATAACGTGGAATACGAATGGAAGCGCACAGCGCGCGCTCTGAGCACCCACGCAGGCTCCACACTTCAGGGACACAACACACTGATCTTCCCTCACCCCAACTCAGAAACCACCGGAACCTGGGCGCCTCCCGGTACACAAGCCCCCACCACGGGGTCCTTCTCATACCTTGACCCCCGCCGCCTCTGGGGTCTGGGTCACCTCTGCTCCTCGGGGGGCCGGGGAGGGGTGGGGGTGGGGGGCCCGGAGCAGCCCTCCCCGCGGCGGGTAGCAGTGGGTGTCCTCAGGGCCGCTGCCGACTCCCCACCACCGCCCCGCGGAGCCCTCCCCGCGGCGGGTCAGGCAGCTGTCAGATGATACGGCCGGCCTCATGCCACTAACAGCTCCCCTGTGCCAACCGCCAAAACCACTCCCTACCCCTCTGCCGAGTGGGCCGGCTGGGGGTGGGGGCGTCACCCCGGAGCAGAGGGTGCAGGGAAGGGAGGCCCTGCTAGAGAGACCGGTCACAAATGGGGCTCCTTCAGGGTTCTGGGAGAGAGTCGCCCCATCCTGAGCTCCTTCCATTTCAGGAACTTGCCCTTAAGCCCCCCCCCCCATGTTCTGGGGGTGGACAGCTAGTTCCTCACCCAGCAGACTCCTCCAGGTGGCATTTGAACCCCATGATGCACCTCACCCTTTCCAAAGATCCCTGCTTCCCAGGAGACGGTGCTGACCATGTCCCCAGGGCCCCCAGGTGATCCCCCCCCCCCCCAAGAGCGCAGGGCCCTGCTCCTTGACCACTGCCGCTGGTACTGTGGTGTGCCTTCCTGAGCTTGCCCGGCAGATGCCCAGCGGTGCCCAGTGCCCCCTCCCCAGCTCCCCGCTCAGAGCCGTCAGGGACACCAACTCCAGACCCAGCCCAGACGCGGGCCAAGGCCATGGCAGAGGTCCAGCCGTGAGCCCACAGCCTTGCCCTCCTCCCAGCCCTCTGGGCTGCTCCCCTTCCAGACACGGGTGCACACAGGACCGCCAGGCCGTCCACTTCCCACCTAGCCCCTCCCTCTCTTTTCATTCCTCCATCATTCCTCCATTCCCCGCCTCTCCTCGCACTTACGTCTTCCTCCAGGCTCTTCCGAGAGCTTCCACTCCGGGGGGCTACTTCTCCCTGCAGACAGCAGAGGCCAGTCAGAGAGAGGACAAGGTCAAAGGACAAGGTCAGAGGTCAAGAGTATCGTGTCTGCCGCCTGCTGGGTACCAGAGGTGGAAGGAAGGGGTGAGGGTAGATTGGGCGGAGGGGTTTGGGAAGGAACTTGTGTTATCTGAGCATTTCTTCATCCACTAAAGGCTCATCAGAGCCCGCCCCGCCCCTCACAGCACTGCTAATCCCATTAGGCAGATTAGGAAACTGAGGCACAGACAGGTTCAAGCTTCATGTATATGGTTACCCTATTAGAATCCAGATTTGGTGTGTCAGTGGCTAGCCTCAGTTTCCCCATCCACATCCCTACCTTCTTCTGCCACCTAGCTCTAAGGAAGACTAGCTCAGGCAGAAAGGCCCATGTGGAAAAATCTGCCCAGCTTTCTTCTCACTCTGTGTATTTAATAAAGAAGTTCAAGTCTCATGCCCCGCCCCCCGCAGCACCCCTTCTCTCAGCCTGTCTGGCTCCCAGCAGCCCAGGTCTGGACACACAGGGCCAGCCAGACCCAAATCACCAGCACCCTGCTACCCGCTGCTGCCCTCCCTAAACCCCAGAGCCATGACCCCGGGTACCTGGTTCACTCTTCCCCCAACACGCCCTCGGCTCCCGGCCTCCTCGCACCTGTCCAGGCTGTCCCCAGCCCCGGGGACATCACTCACCGTGTCCCCCACATTCTTCGGGGCACTCTCCATGGTGATGGGCTGTGAACAGAGGCAGAAGGCACGGTAAGCCTTGGGGACCGTGTCCCTGGCCTGGTAGCCGGGAGGGTGACACCAACGGAGACTCAGACATCCCTGCTGGTCCTGAGCAGAGTTTGTAGAGCGAAACATGATCCTTCCAGTACTTGAGCCACTCAGTTCCACAAACCATCTTTACTACCGCCCAGGACCACACTAGGTGCCGGGTATAGCCTCTGACCCACAGGTACCAACCACTCCAAATGGAGCAAGGAATAAAGGCCGGGTGCTAGTGGCTCACGGTTCGAAGCCAGCCTGGGCAGGAAAGCATGTGAGACTCCCATCTCCAATTAATCATCAAAAATCTGCAAGTAGCTGGTGCCAGTATCTGATGCCTGTAATCCTAACTACTTAGGAGGCTGAGGATCACAGTTCAAAGCCAGCCTGGGCAGAAAAGTCCTTGAGACTCTTCTCTCCAATTAGCCACTCAAAAAAAAACAAAAGTGGCACTGTAGCTCAAGTGGTAGAGTGCTAGCCTTGAACACAAAGAGGCTCAGGGACAGCACCCAGGCCCTTAGTCCAAGCCCCACAACCAACAACAACAAGGAAGAGCTCAGGAGCAGTGCCCAGACCCTGAGTTCAAGCTCCATGACCACCAAAAGAAAAAAGCCACAAGTAGAGCTGTGACTCAAGTGGTAGAGCACTAGGCTTAAAAAACAAAACAAAGGGGGGGAGGGGGGAGGCTGGGAAGGGAGGTGAAGGGTAAACAAAGGAGGAGGCTGCAATGCTTGGTAAGAAATGTATGCATTATCCTGCCCATGTAATTGTAACCCCTCTGTACAGTATGTTCTCAAATAAAAAAAAAAAAAAAAAACAAGGTCAGGCAAAGCACACAGGACCTAGGACTGGCACACACCAAAAAGGGTATACTGTCTCTGCTTCCCACAAGCCAGGCTACACCCCACCCCCCCTCACCCCACCTACCTAAATGGAGCCTTACCCCACCCGTAGACCTCCCAGACCTCACCTCCTCACACAAAGCTCTGCTCCCCAGACCCCAAACCCCTTGTCAGTCCCACACCCAGCATGCCTTGAAGACCAGCTTCCTTTTCTTCCCCCCCCCTTCCCCCCCCCCCCCCCCCCCCCCCGTGTAGAGGGTCTCCTCCCTCAGGAAGTCCTCCCTGACCACTCTGCAAGTGAGATCTGAGTTCTCATCTACCTGGTTGGCTATACTCTTCGTGTGCCAATAATCTAATTGTATGAACCCATGCCCACTTTCCTCAAAAGCTGCTTTATTTAGGGTTCTTATTCTACCTTCCTCCAAAAGAGATCCCAAAGCAACATTTGTTTTTTTGCTAACACACTTAACTTTCAAACTACCTCATGTCAAGGATCTTGATGACTGGGCGGTGGGCCCAGAAGTAAGCACCTGTCTGCTAAAGCTGCCCTTCCTCAGCCCAGGCCTGCAAAAAAGGCTTCCTACTAAAAGCATCCTGAATTGCCTCCCCAGGTCCCTCAGGAGGAAGAGAAGCGTCTAGTTCCAGGCCATCTCCTAATGATAGTCGAGGGCTCCATCTCCAAGTCATTAAAGAGAGACCCTTGACTCAGGCAGACTGGCACATGGAAGACTACAAAGACCAAAGCAAAGCCCAGTGTGGTGGCTCACACCTGTAATGCCAGCTCCTTGGGAAGCAGAGACCAGGAGCACTACAATTCAAGGCCAGCCTGGACAAAGTTAACCACATTCCATCTCAACCAATGAGCTAGCTGGGTGTGGTGGTGCATGCCTGTCATCCTAGCTAAGGAGGAAGATGGAGGTCTGATGCTGACCTGGACAAAAGCAAGGGACCCTCCCTGAAAAATAAAGCAAAGGGCTAGCCGACTCAAGTGACAAAACATCGACCTAGAAAGCACGAGGCACCCCAGTACTGCCGGGCACCGGCGACTCACCTGTAATCCTAGCTACTTGAGAGGCTGAGATGTGAGGATCACAGTTTGAAGCCAACAGAGTCAGGAAAGCCCATGAGACTCTTATCTCCAATTAACTACCAAAAAGCTAAAAGTGGAGGTATGCTATCGCAGGACTTTCACATGCAGCCCCAACATGCCACTTCCTCTGGCAAACAGCAGAGCATGAGCTGAGGGGTCACACATGAGACCCCCCCCCCCGGCAGAGCTGGGTCCCACACAGACAGCTTCTAACCCAGTGATACCCCTGCAGGTCCGGGGCCTGTGCGTCTCCTGTGACAGGGCCTGGAGGGCCTGCAGAGCCCCGGCTGCCCAACACACTGTCCTGTCCTCCTGGGGGTCCCTCTCGCAGCAGGATACTCAGAAGCATCGGCAAGGGGGCTTGGGTGGGTAGGGGTGCAGACTGAAAGAAGGACAGAAGGGCTTTAGAACATCATGCCCAGCCCCGAAAGCTCTCAGTGCACGTAGGTTCTCTGTTATTTACTATCTTACCCTCAGGGGTGCCCCACGGGCCCCAAGGCCCACCCGGCCCCACCTTGACCCTGGCCCACCCCTCCTAGGTCTGGCACAGGCAGACAAGGGAGCAGGCCGCTCTCTTCCTGCCTGCAGTCATCTGAGCAACGCCAGCCCCACCCCCCACCACCACAGCTGGAGGGCAGCCATGGGTCCACCCTTGCCAACAGTCAGATGCCTTCAACGTACTGGTCCCCCCACTCCTCTCTGAGCAGCTAAAAATGGCCAACTCCCCCCCCCAATCCCCACCCCAGTGTTTGCAAACCCAGCCCAGCAGCATCACCCCACCCCCACCCACCCAAGTCTCCCGGGAATGAAGTTCCCATTGTGTTTCCCAACACAGCCCCAAAGGCTGCTGGGAAGGAAAAGGGCAAGGGCCTGGTCCAGGAGGACCAAGTCTCAGCTAAGGCTGCCCAGGCCCAAGTCCCTGGCCACCCCGAGCTGTGGTCTCATGAGCAGTGGCCCCAGACCTCTGAGGGCTGGTAGAGACGCACGGACCTCCACTTCGGCTATCCCAACCTTCAGCCAAAAGTTCCTAGGGAGGCACACACACACACATATACACACGCACACACGCACGTACGCACATACGCACACAGAACCCACTCGGCATCAGCTCTGAGAAGGACTTGGGATATCATCTTCGCCCTTTCCATGCTTCATTGACGGGAAACTGAGGTACAGAAAGGGAGGAGCTAGTCAGGCACTGGTGGCTCACGCCTGTAATCCTTGCTACACAGGAGGCTGAGCTCTCAGGATCACATTCCGAAGCCAGAATGGGCAGAAAAGACGGTAAATATCTTATCTCCAATTCACCAGCAAAAAAACAGAAGTGGAGCTGTGACTCAAGTGGTAGATCACCAGCGGGAAAGCCAAACGAGAGCACGAGGTCCTGAGTTCAAGCCCCAGTGCAGGCACAAGCATGCACACGCACATAAAGGGAGGGACGTCTACCCAGTGTCTGTGGTAGGATGCATGGCAGGACCAGAGCTGGTCCCGGGCTTGCAAGCTCCCCACCCTAGTCCCAGACTCCAGGAAGGATCACAGGCACCACAAGGCCAGTTGCACATGACCGAAGTGGACCGAATCTACGCAGGGACAGTACAGCGCCGTCCCTCTGGCCCCACCCCTGCCCATTTCCAGAACCAAACCCGCAGCTGGGGGACCAAGTGAGAACCGCGGGCTGGAAGCCAACCGGAGCCTTCCAGAGCCCCCTGCCTCCCCACAGACCAACTCAGAGTCCCACGTGGGAGCCACGGCCAGGTTTGGACCTGGGGCTGCAAAGAAGCCAAGCCCTGCCCTTCTTGGATGGCTCTGCCCTAGGGTCTCAAACCCACCGTTGGCAACAAGGTAGGCCTGGAGCAGGGACTTTTGCCTAAGGGCAAAACACAAGCAGCCACCTCTTGAGTCCGGCAAGCCACACCTCACACCACGGTCCCCCTAGCTGGCTCTCCTAGTTACCGCCCTGGTCTGGAGATGCTAGTTCCTAAAATTAAAACAAGAACAATGACTACTTGTCACGTGCAAAGGCTCTGCTGTGCCGGCCACATCCTCATCAGTCGAGGAAGCCCGGGATCCCAGAGGCTGGATGACATGCTCAGGGCCTGAACCACCCACACGCCCTCTGTCCTCTCCCTGGTGACCAACAACCATCTTAACCGATGGCCTTCCTGATGGAAACCTGCTGTCTGAACCTTCAGGCACAGCCAACCCTAAGGCTCATGGCTCAGGAAGAGACTTGCCCACTCCATTTCCATAGGAAGACTAGGAAACGGGTTACAGCAGGAGAGACTGAGATCAGACATCAGAGAGGACTTCCTGAATTTGAAGGGTTGTGAGCCATCGGGTAGATAAGGGGAGCTGCACATCCCTTCTCCAACATCCCCCCCACCCCAAAAAGGCATGCAGGCCCTCTTCTCCACAGCCAGGTGAGCCCTCCACATGTACGGAGGAAGGGCTGTGTGTGTGCGCTGGAAGGCTGGGGGGGACAACAGTGCAAGGGTTCGCGCAGTAGGACTCTTGGTGGCCTGCAGGGAGGGGCAGACAGGCTGGGGGGAGACGTGTCTGTGGGCTGCTGTTGTAGAGGAAGGAAAAGGCTAGGGGTGGGGGTGGGGGTGAGGACTGAGCCCAGGACTTGGGGGGGTAGAGGGGGGGCAGAATGCAGACTCAGCCTCCAGAGGAACATTCCGTCCAGAATTCCTCCGCCCTGCGGACTCCCCCTTACTCCTCCCCCCACCTCACAGGCCTGCAATCCACGCAGGTTTGGAAGCCAAAAAGACCCCGTGGCCTCCTCTGGCCAGGGGAATGAGCTGGGAGGTCACTGGCCAGCCCTGCGGGAGGGGAAGGCGCTGGGACAGTCCGGGCGGGGAGGGGGTGGTCAGGCCTCGAACCAGGCCCCAAAATAGAACCATCAGCAGATGGCCAAGGCAAGGGGGCTGAGAGCACATTTTGGGGTGCTTTAGCGGCGGTGGGGAGGGGTGGGCTCCCTCTTGGCGCCGGTGCCTCCTGAGAAGCAGCACCGTGACCCTCTTCTGGAACCTTCC